ATTGGATTGGGTACTAATAGGAGCTTTTAGGTTCGCATCAAAACTCAAAATATTGAAATCTTTAAGTAGTTTAATTAATATTGCTAAATCATAACATTAAGTCATTAATGTTCACGCAATTAATACTTTTTCCTCTGTCCTGCGTTTTTTAAAGTCCTTTGGCCCAACAAAGGGGTGACCCAGTGGTTTGGGCTTTGACATCTAACCTGGAAGATTTAGATTCGAACCACGCTAAATGTTGAGTTTGTACAAGTTTACTTGCACCCGTTAGGAGGTTTTTCGAGTACCAGATTAAGGCATGCGCACGTAGAGTCTCCCCGAATCACCTCCCTTAATAATACTATTCCCTTCCTATAAATCTCACTCACATATAATAAATTAGGTACTTATAATGAATATGATTGTACTATGTTTGAGGGAATTCCTCCGCTAATAATAATATACTTTCAGGGGCCTATTTAGAAACGGAGGAAGAGAGAATATCTGGATAAATTTTGTGAATGCAAAGTTCACTTATAACCATGCGCCCAACCGTGTTGATTAAAGAATACTAAATATTTCTTCTGTCCCATAATTATTATTTAGTTTGGATTTTTATTTTTAGTTCCAATTATATTAAAAGTGAAATATCAAATTTACAATAATTTTGGGACAGAAAAAGTACATTATTAAGCAAGCACAACAGCAGAGATTTGATGGACAAAATTGATCGGATATTATTCAGCTGAATTCAAGAAAAAAAAAAAGTAATCTCTAGTAGATAAAACCGGAATTAAAACAAAAAAAAAAAAAGGGACTAAGAAACAAAACAAACAATTAATTTTTCATACCACCAAAATCGTAACTCAACAACAAAAAAACACACAATTAACGGATAAGACTACTACTGCGTACTACCACTAATAACAAACATTTATATAGCCTGATAAATATAAATAAAATCATTGTATATATCTTGAATTAAATCTTCTCGAATTCTCTCAATTGCTCTTGATCCGAGGCACATCGGCGGTGGCGGCGGTTGAGTTATCAATCTGAGGCGGAGGGGATACTGGCCGTTGCTTACGATAGGTCTGCTCAAGTTGTTTGAGTTTCTCGGAGCCGGAATCCGCCAGCTTCTTCAACTCCGAGAGGTCATAATTTTGGACAGCATACACTCCACAGGCACCACCGACGGTGAAAGCCACCAAACTTCCGAACAATCCCATGATTGATATGGATCGAGAAAACTGAATTGGGAGGTGTTTTTTTTTTCTTTTCTTCCTTCCGTCTGTGAAGATTAATGGTGAATTATATGAAAATTTCGAGTGGATTATAAATAGCCTTTTAAATTTTTTAGGTTGTCTTATTCCCCAAGACTTATAGTTTTTTAAGTCCCGGATATGTTTATTGGTTTCCCCTTGTCCAAGACTGCCAGCCAAACTACTCCGCTAATTACGTGTAGAGAACCTTGGGCAACACTTCACTGTTTGGTTTGTTTTTATGATGGTTTTTTTTAAAAAAAAAAAATTAATTAATAATTGTATCATTTCAATATAGTTTTTTACATTTTTAATAGAAAAATAGCTAAAAATATACTTATAAAACTATTCAAATATATCATAATTCAAATTTTTTAGATTTTTTTTTTCTTTTGGTTCTTGTTTACTGTTGTTGCAACTTACAACACGCCCTTGATAATTTGTTTGGAACGATCGATCCAATTATTTTATTTTATTATGTGCAACATAATCATAATCAATTTCGGATTTAAAAAAACAAAAATTCTAGAATGGGTCTCCAAATATGTATCCCTGTATAAAACCTCGATGCCGTTTGGAAATCAACCCCAAGAGGTTATATGGTCTTATCATTTTATTGGAATAAAATTGAACTTCAGTATTTCATACATTGATGAATGATCACCATTTCATACTTTTCGCTTATTCATAAAGTAGCGATTCAACGTTATTTCTGTTTTTTTTTTTCACTAATTACTTTTGTCCCAAAAAATACTCCCTCCGTCCCATAATTATTGTCCACTTTGCCCAAAAAATTTTATCCCAAAATCATTGTCCAATTTGACTTTTTATGGATCAAGTTACATATTTGTCCTTAGTAAAAAACATTATCCATAAAATTTTTGTGGTTAAACAATTACTTTTGTAAGGGTACATTCGGTAGTTTAAGGTAAAATATAGTTAAGTTTGACTAAAAATAAAATCTTTCATTTTAGTAAAAGTGGACAATAATTATAGGACGGAGGGAAGGGAGTAGTTCACAATGGGTTTGAAGTAAATGTGTTAATTATTGTCAAAAGAGATGCTCAATGATCAGAAAATTTACTCACGAATAATACTGAATTCTAAGCCAATATATGTGTGCTTCAACGACATCATTTGAACCTCTAATAATTTTGAGACAGGGATAGAGTATTGTGTATAAACATTGGAAGATAGAATTTCTCACAAAGAAAAGTCAAAAGGCAGATCCAATTCATACAGAAAAAAGAGAAGTCAATTAAAAGTAAAAATAAAATGTATGACTATGATCGATCCTAGCCGGAATCTCCTTTACTCGCTTTTGGGGGCAGAGGTCTCCGGCGGCGGCTTGCGGAGGCTCCTCTCAACTTGCTTAGCCTTGACTATACCACCTTCCACCAATTTCCTCAAGTTCGGTAGATCATAAGTTTGGGCAAGATACACCCCAAGTAGTGTGGCAAAGGCAAATTTGATCTTGGGACATCCCATCTTTGATTGATATTCCTTTAATTTGCAAAAACGCTAAATTTTAACCAAAAAATAGTTGACTCGATTATCGAAATAACAACTATCTAAAAGGTTTCAATTTCGTTGGTTATGAATAGGGAGGGTTTTACTTCTTGTCCAAGATTAGTTTGATTTTAGGTTGGAGTACTCTGCAAGAATTGGGAAATACGGAGTATTTCTTTTACCTAGCTATTTGCGGAACACGAAAGAAAGTCATTGCGGCAAGTTAGACTTATTATTATTATTATTATTATTATTATTATTATTTCCGATTTCGTTTTGTGTGTTGGACATTAAGTATAGGTTCCATGGATTAATTTGAACGGTCAACCCTTTTATTGGACAGTAGAGGCTTTGAGTAGAAGAAAGTTTAGATCATATATTATAATAACATTATATTAATATAATATGTTCTATTTTGAAGTGGAAAAATAACATTTAATATATAACACAGTTAAGAATCTTTTTTTTTAACTATCATTTCTATAAATAATAAGATAAATAATCATTTTTATCATTTTTATAAATAATAAGATAGTTAAGAATCTATATTAGCCCAAATAACTTAACAGTCATTGGAATTTCTCTTTAGAAGATTCTTGGCTCACAAAAGGTAGTATCTCGACGGATCTCTTCAACTTCATCTTCTTCTTTTTTTTGTTTGTTTTACATACCTTTTTGTTTTCGGTACAGGAATCATGAGGATGATTTTAATTAATCATATCCTCTATTGGATGGTTGAGGTGCCTTTGGAAAGTTAAGCATTTTGATCACCTGGAAACATTCGAAGTAAACACTCGAATTAAGATGTTTTAAAAGCTTCATCACTAATCTGCAATGAGTAATTGTGGTCGAAATGGAAGAGAGAGAGAGAGAGAGAGAGAGAGAGAGAGCAATATAAGAATAGATTAAAAATTAAAAATATTTCTTGTATCACTAATATTTTTTACCTTAAAGGTATTTTAGGTAATTTTATATCGAGACTGTAAAAGAGGTGTATTACAAATGTAAAAAAGTGTATTAAAATGAGAAATTTATTAATTAAAATGCTGAAAAAAACAGGAAAAAGAAAACCAAACAAAAATAATATTTAATTCTACATTAGAGGTCCAAGTAAAACTAAAAACAAGAGCCGATGGTGGCCTTTATTTACTACCACACCGAAGCTAAACAAATGAAGCGCACGGAAAAACAAGTGCAACTTTTAATATAAATCAAAAAAAAAAAAAATCTGAATCACGTCGGCTGCTGTATCGGTCGGCTCCGGTGTCGTACCGGCTTTGGGATCGAGATGAGCCGTATGAGTAGTCGGCGTATCCCGCGTCGAGATCGGGGTGAGCCGTATCACACGTGGAGCCAATCTCAAACTTTTGTGCTACTAGGTATCCGATGGGGATGTGGATGTCAATCAAAGCCCATTCCATGATGCGTATCGATTACCAGTTTTGTTTTCTTAAAGCTTTGATTGTTTGTTGAGAATTGAAGAAGAAATAGAAAAGGGATTAGGTCGAGAATGCCGATCAATTTGCATGGTAGTAAATAGAGTAAAAGAGGTAAATTGCGTCTAATTATTTTGGCTATCTTGTCCCCCAAGACTTTTTTTTTTTTTTTCCTCCTAAGCTTTCGCAACACTCTAGTTTCAATATTTTCTTTTTATCCCCCCTTGATGTTATTGGGATGTGATAATCTCAAAATGAAAATAACATTATTAATTTACCAACGTTTTACTATAATATAAATTTGATCCAAATACACACCAATCATTGTGCCTAATAGGAAGTTTTACTATAACATTATTAAAGCTATGTTTGGAAGGTTTTTTGAGTGTGCTTTTTGGTATTGGGAACGTAAAAAGGTGTATTAGAAATATAAAAAAATATGCTGGAATGGGATAGATATTAATTAAAAATTCTGAAAAAATGAGTGAAAAAAGGAACCAAACATAGCATTAATTTGAATCCCAACTTCTTTTCCCCTTTTATTTTGACCTTGGCTTCTAAAAAAGGTTCTGATTCCAAAAGTTATAGGAAGAAAGTAACTTGTTGGCAAAGATCGGTACAAGTTGAAGTAGTCTCCAAGAAATTGTGAGCTTATAATTACATGTTTGTCTAACACGATTAGAACGTCACTGCCTGTTGAAGTCTTTTTTCTTCTCTTTTTTTTTTTTTTTTTAGTGGCAGCTTATGGTGTTATATTGGTAGTGGTGGTATTTTCCGTTGGCAGTGTAAAGTGCAATGATTTCAAACTAAGGTTAATGTAAAGTGCAATTTCATTTCAACAGGATCTATTTTGATCCACAGTTTAAGAATCAATCACTGGGGGAATCCCGTTAGAGTCTTGTAAACATTAGGCCATTAGGGCTATCTGGCATTGAGAATCAGGCCCCAGATCAAAAAAGATTCAAGCTTTCAACAACAAGCAATGGTAAAGATTCAGATAGCACATCATCTTGGTCACTAGTTCTTGGTGGATGTTTATCATTTCTGCTTGCTGATAGTACCCTGAAATCAAAATGATACTACCCATTGATGTATATGTGTTCACTTCAGCAAACTCTCCATATCAACGTCCTTAAATGATCCAAACCATAAGAGTCCGCTGACATATTTGATTAGCGCGTAATACACCACTTTCGTCTGCTCATTCACAGTATATCCCGTTTGAGCAGCCAACCAGTCCAAGTACACAAACTGAAAACACAATTCCACCGAAATCAATATGCTTCTTACAGTACTAGTAACCCTATGACATATAAAATGACCATGAAATCTTTTCTTCTTCTTCCACCATTTTTTTCCCCCCCTTTTTATTGTGGTGTTAAATTTTGCATTACGCAGTGCATTTGATTAAGAATGGATTCATATAGCCATTTTACATAATTTAGAACTTTACCGCATCAACTGGAAGCCTTTGTGTATAACACTTGGGGACTCCATCCTGTTCCATCAACCGATAATGTTCTTCAACATCAGCCAACATTTCCTCTTTTGATGGCAGTATTGCCTTCCCAGATAATGCAAAAGCAACCCACTTCGCTTGCAATTCCAACATTAAGAATACCACGACCTGGAATTTGAGCAGTCAACATTGAACTTTACAAGGCAAGCAACTTAAGGCACAACACCCAGAAGTGTATTACACATTCTTTTGATCTTATGTTGAAATCTATGTTTTGGGTATATCTGAAAGGAAAAAGACATGATATATGTAAACACCCAAACATATAAAATCTGAAAAACTGACCCGATGAGGTAATCCAACAAAAGAAAGCCCAGGAGCATTTTGTGGAGGAAAGACGTGCTTGTATAAAGGTCCAACACGGTTGTCATCAATGGTCACAATCCCTTTGGTTTTCAGAAAAGGAAACTGATACTTGTACCTGTAACCAAAGCATAAATATGAAACCAAAATGAGCAAAATGTGACCACGGCTAGAAAATGGGGAACTGTTTCAGGAAAAAAGAGTGAATTTTCAGTTCAAAGAAGGAGTTGATTACCCGGTACAATGGAGAATTATATCTGCAGCAACAGAAGCACCATCTTTGAAAGCTACCTCACCGTTTTCATGACAGTATGCTATCTAACAAAAACTTCAAATGTTAAAGATATAAATCTATCAATCAGAGAGCTGCATCATGGATGGATAAGACTGAATACACACGTACTTCTTGGTGTTGCCACACATTGTTAAAGAAGTCGAGCTTCGACACTTTAACTTCAGGGGACCTTGAAGATAAATGAACCTCTTTGGCAACCTGGGCAATATCGTGGCATATATCATGTGCACTAGGCCCAGCACCAATAAGTACCACAACCTGCGTTTTCTTCCAACAGATTAAGTCACTGGGTTCGTGGCAAATGATAAATATCTTAGTTGCTATCACAAATGACAATCAACAAAAAGATAACCAATACCTTGTCTTGAAACGGATCTGGAACTCGATAATTGTGGCTATGAATTTGTTTCCCGGGCCAAAATTCTACACCTACAAGTACAGAAACAGATGAAAATTATAACGGCATATCATAATTAACAACATGAATTCCGATCTCCATATAATTTCAAGGGTAGAATCTTGTTTCAAGACAGAGACGGCAAAGAAATGATCACTAAGAGAATTCAATATAACAAATGAGATCCTCATAATTAATGTTTCATCCGTCCTGCAATAATAGTTCAAGCTGTCTGTCACCACGCCCCTAAAGCATTTCAATTATAATTTTAAGTGCAAGTTGGATCCCTGAACCCCGAGCTGAGCAGAAACAATGCTTCTTCAGTTCCATGTTAACCAATTTAAATCTATTTCAGAGGATATTCAAAACGTATATTCATTGTAATCTATTTTATCAACACAAGAACAGGTTTTCCTGATATACAATGCTCAAATAATTCTAGCTACGATCAAATTATGAATATCATTAGTAGCAGTGATTAATGTTCTAAGAATACTAAATACACATTACAGTTAATTCATCTAAAGCAAAAAAAAAAAAAAAAAAAAAAAACTACTATTTGGAACATTTTAGTGGTAGAAAAGAATGAAAATGACTGAAAAAGACTGTGGAATTAAATATCGCCGGAGAATGCTGACCTGGAATGTCCTCCGCTAATCTCGGCTGCGTGTAATGACCATTACAGACCACCACAGCTTCAAACAACTCTTCCGAGCAGCTCTTATCACTCAATCTAGACTCCACAACCCAGAGATCATCCTCCTTCTCAACTCTGACAACTTCGTGATTAAGCCGGATTAGCTCCATCAGACCGAAATCTCGAACAAATTGATTCAAAAATTCCAAGACCTCTTGGTGGCCCGGAAAATCCCTGAGCTCGCCGGTTTCGTGTCTGATAGTAAAAGGGTAGTCGGAAAATCCCATCGCGTGCCGGGGGAGGTTGGTTCGGAGGGAATAATATATGCTGCTGTGGACGATCTCTCGATCGGGATCGAGACCCAACGGATCGGTTTCCACCTCGGGAGTGTAAACCCATGTTCCCCCAATCCGGTCTGATTTTTCAAACACCACAACTTGGTGACCTTCCCTTTGAAGCTCCCGTGCCGAGATTAGCCCCGCCGGTCCCGCTCCGATCACCGCCACTTTGAGCTGCCGTGACATCTAATCTTGTTGACTTCTCTTTCTCTTTATTAATTGTTTCCCTATAAAAATGAAATAGCACAACTTCATTGGAATTAACAACTTACTTATGGGTATGGGCATACTAATTAAGTTACAGTGTTTTTTGTAATTACTAAATTCTGATAAGGCTGCTGCTTTTTTAAAAACTGGATGAAGGCGGCTCGTCAAACTCGACAAGAATGTTTATAAGTTCTTTCTACCAATGGGCATAAAGTAAATTTTCTATATTCATTCTATTTCAAATTAGTCACTGTCGGTAGACACCCTGCAATATGGAAAAAAAAAAATTATTAATAACAAATAGATCAATTATTTAGGTTTTGTTTTCGTGTTTATGATGTAATCTTTGTGAATGGAAATCAGGATATGCAAACTTTAGTATGTGACGTAGATTGTTTTGTAATGAAATTTGCATCGAGATCATATTGATTGAGAATAGTTACATTATTGCTATACTATTCTATATTATTGATTTTGCAGTCTTCTTTGTACAGAAATGAAGAAGGTATTAGATTGGAGAATTTTCCAGAACAAATGAAGACAAGAAAAAAAGACAACAATGCAATTAAAACTTCAGGGCCCTCCATTTTTTGAAGAGTTGCTGGAGAGCCTGATACATCAACAACAATATATCAACAAGTGCAAAAAAGATCAACTTGCCATGTTACAATCTAATCAAGTTTCTGAGATAAACTAAACTATCAGGTACAATCTGGCAGATTTCTCAGGACCCCTCAATCAGCCCACAAGTTGAAATGGCACTGGTCCAGAATGTGAAAAATTTAATGGAACAGCACATCTTGATGTTGTTGAATCAACAACCACTGGTTCTAAAACAAATATCGAGCTTGAACCACCATCCATGGCCACAAAATCTCCCCAGTACAGAGTACACTAAGCCTTTTGACATTAATTTGATATGTTTAGACTTTAGAATGTTGTCTTGTTCTGTGTTTTGCATATTTCGAATTGACAATATATGCAGAGAAATGACAATATTTGTTTCGTTTTACCGTTGAGATAAATAAGTCGTATTCATATCACTGTCGCATTACTTTAAAACGCGTAAATGCATGTTGTGTTACAAATTTGTACCGCTTATGCTCTATATAAACAGTATTCTTGCACCACCATTCAAGTGTCAAAAAAAACTTTGTGGCAATCTGAAGTAGTATTACAAGAAAAATGGCTGGCTCAAAGGCAATTGCCACCGTCATTCTGCTTAATGTAATCTTCTTTGCTTTTGTTTCATCCAGCAATGCTACTTATTGCCCTCCTTCTCCAAAGACTCCAGTTAAACCTCCATCAGTTCCTGCTCCTGCGAAAAAGCCTGCCAAATGCCCTAAAGACACCCTCAAATTCGGCGTCTGTGGCGACTGGCTAGGCTTGGTTCATGAGGTCGTTGGGACGCCGCCAAGCAGCGAATGCTGTGCACTGATAAAGGGTCTTGCTGACCTCGAAGCAGCAGTCTGTTTGTGCACTGCCATTAAGGCCAATGTTCTTGGGGTGGTCAAGGTCAAAATTCCCATTGCCATTAGTCTGTTGATCAATGGTTGCGGAAAGAAGGTGCCAGAAGGCTTCAAATGTTAACCATTATCATCACAAATGTTTTGATTGTACTCCTACTTGTGTACTTATAATTATTCAACTCCTGGTTGTGAATTCTGTGTTTTAAGTCGCAAATGTGGCTTCTCTCGTCGTGAATATTCGTTTGTACGTGATCAAATAAAGAATTTCTTTTTTGTGTGATGTATGTGTAATGTTAAGGCACCCAAAGAAAAGAAAAGAAAGGAAAGAGAGATGAATGGGCTAAGAAGAAAGGCCTAAAAAGTTGAGCACTAAAATGGCTACATTAGATTAGTCCAAATATCCTAATTTCTTCTGACAGAGGATTAGGATTATACAATAATAATTAGATAAATTATGAAATTTGTATCTCATTAGTTGTGATGTGGAGGATGAGTATGAGGTGCTGTATAATCTGAGTGGGCACTGTGTTTCAGTTCTTTATATTCTTCCCCTTCCTCAACATCCTCAGAGCTGCTGTCCATTTGGGCTGATTCTGATGCAGTCTTTTTGCCAACTGAAGGCTTCAATCCAGCAACTTTTAACTTCTCCGCATTCTGCACAAATAACAAGATCAAGTTTTCATTGCCTTTCGTTGAACAGAAAGAAGAAATTGAACTATACTACCATATGAATTTGATCACTTGATTGAGTAACTGCATGTAAAAAAGCTGAATCAATTATGAAGAAAACAAGTCCAAGCTAACAATTTTATGTACTTCATTTATAGCTTTATAAGCTTGTATGGTTCTAATACAACTAATTATGAGCTCCTTCTTTCTGTGGTTCACTGACCAAAGCTAGTGCATTGACAATAAGATCTTCTAGCACGCTATCGCGAATCAAAGTCATCACATTGTCGGTCATATCAATGTCGAAAAATGCTTCCTCGCAGTCATCAATGTTGTTTAGACTTTTGGCCAAGACATCAAAAGCTGTACATTTCTTTTGAGAGTTATCCGCATCATCACCAGCTTTCTCATTCAGGATGTACTCTGACAAATCTTCACTGTTGCAAATATAGACCTGGTGAATGGTCTGGTTTAGGATGACAACATTTTTATCATAGAGATCGACGCATTGAGCCAATGCAGCCTTTTCACCCGCAGTCTTGCTCTTGGGGCCTAACGTATGGACATTTCTAGAAGCGTTGAGGGCACGGTCATAGGCGAGTTGGACCGAGACCTTGATGAAATCATCTTTTCCCTTGATTTGGTCAAGGCCATACTTCGGATTGTTAGTAAGGACATGCTCACATGGTTCCGGGTTGTAGGTTGTGGCACACCATTCTTTAACGGTGGTCGGTTGCTTTTGCGGGTTGCTAATGACTGGAGCTGCAAAAGAAACTGCAATCAGGACAATTGCAATGTATAACCCCATTGCTAAAGTTTATCAAAGCTGATGTAGAAGGAGAGTACTATTTTGCTTGATCAGGTTGATGTGAACTGAAGGTAGTTTTTCACTGAAACTAAGCTATCATTTTTATATAGGCCTAATTGCAAACTCGGAAAAGGAGTGAGATTGTGTAAATCTGTAACGCATTTGTTACTGTGTTAATTGCTCAAGTCCTCAACCATATCAGTAATGCCCGTATGGGAAAAGGACAATTTGTTTGTTAGAGGTTACCGTGGAGAGCATCATAAAAAGAAAGGTCAAGTCAAAGATGCTTCTACAGTTACGCATGTATTCAGAATGGTGAGAGTTCTGTAATTTCTGAAATAAAGATTTGCCTTCTTGGCAAGGACGAGAATCAAAATAGTTCAATATCATAGCATAAGAATTTTTGTTTCCGAAATAGTAGTCCCCTTAGATTTTCAAATACACCTTACAACTCATGCCTAGAAACATCACTGAAGACAAATGGATGATTTCAGCAAATGGAAATGATTCAAATGAATGTACCAAAAAAAAAAAGAAGAAGAAGAAGAAGATGATATACTAGCGCTTTGTTCTCTCAATCATGTATCCCAACTTCAATCCCTTGATTAGAGTGAGATTATAATTCTAAAATCATTATACAAACATATCAGCAATGTATCAATGATAATAACACCAAGATGTAAAAGAACACTAAACAGAGACAGACTGAATTAGATTTTATTCACAAGTACACGTTCAGTCAAGACGAAGGCTCCTGCGTAAGGAACTTCATCTGAACCTTGTTCAAGCAGGCCTCAGAAGAATTATGACACGGTGACGCCCAATTCGGTCCTCAGTTATGCGTCCAATATGTCTAAGTACCTACAAAACATTCTCCAAAGTTAGGTCATCAGGAATTATTAATTCAGCAACCAAGTCACTATATTTAGTCTACATTACATCGTCATCTTATGTGCAGATCCTCAACAAATTCTACACCTTTGTTATAATTATCGACCAAGTAAATGTAAAGCAGCTAACTTCTTCTAAACAGATTCCAGATCCTCCAGCAATTCATACTTTTTCTCTCAGATACTTTTGCCCATTACTAAGAGTGTTTCAGGACAGTAAAAGTTGGTGGGATAAGAAACTTACAGTCAATATTCCCTTTCCTGTGGTGTCGAACTTCAGAGTAGGCCCCTTCATGTCACTTTCAAGGAAGAAATGCTTTCCTTTCACTGACTCAGACATTGCAATCTCTCTGAGTTCCTACAAGAGGTATAAAAATTCATATCATAAACCAAGGGCAGTTTCAGATACCGAAGCTGCTACACGCCCAAAACAACCAAAGCCAACAGCATTTTTGAATATGAAAAACAACTAAATCCTTTACCCGATATTTCTTTTTTAAAAACAAAAAACAAACTAATTTAGAAAATTCTCTTGGGGAATCTGCCTCATATCTCTAGAGAGGATATGCTCTTAGGTAAAGTTATTACACACAGCAGTATCATCATCACACAAGAAACCATCAGCAATTGAAGTTTAGTTAATTAAAAGTAAATTTTCTGCGAAAGTTCTACTTACCAGTGCCTTTTCCAATGTAGTCTCATTCAGCTTCATAAAAACAGAAGAAGATATAATCAGGATAAGAGAAATAAAATAAGTGGTGATAGGCAATGGAAAAGAAAAGAAGAACGTAAACTTGGGGCTTAGTACCTTCTTTCGTGGAGCTGCAATGAGTTGGGCATTGGTATCGGCATAAGTTGCCATATCACTAATAGCTGCATTAACCTTGTCCAGTGTCAGCCTTCCTTTCATATACCTGCAGTTTATTATATTAGAAGTGCAATTGATATACAGAGACATAGAATACTTAGGTAAATAGATCATTTGGGCTTTTTTTCCCTCTTTATTTTGCCCAGTCCTGAGGTAAAGAAAATGGAAATGCAGAGCCTCCAAGTTAGGGTCTTGGGGGAGGTAAAAAGGATAAATTGGGTACAAGTGCGAGTAAGTAGTAAGCAGAGATTATATCACATGACCAGTAGAATTGGAAAATACTTACTGTGGCAAGGAATTAAGTTCGTCTGCAGTAATATACCAAAGTGGTGCAGTGGCACGGCTCTTCTTTATTACCTGGGATCCTCAAATAAGATCATTTTGCAACTTTAGCTTGTGTATGTTGCATTCTAACAGATGGCATAATAGAATAAGCTGGAACACACAGAAAAAAGAATGCTCGCAGACCTAATCTACCAAATCTTGCTTGAAAGAACACATACATGAGACATTAGCACTTATTCAGAACAATTAGAACCCAAAAAATAAGTAAAAATGGATACAAAATTTTCCTTACTTTGGATCCAGCAGGTTCCCCAATCGTCAATGACTCAAAATTTAAATCATCTTCACTTTGTTCCAGAGGCACACTAAAAACAATAAGAAAACAGAACAAACATCGCTTTAGAATCTATTCCCCAAAATATCACATTGAAGAACAAAAATATGCAAATCATCATACAACAGTCAAAAGATCGAACACCTCCAGTTGAGTTTCAGGACCAAACTCTTGAAGGCCCAAATATAAGCCCACATGTGGTTCCACCTCAAAACCAATTGGTGATGAGGGGAGTAGCACATGGAGTATATATGTTGGGTTCAAGTGTTTCCTCCCATCCATGTGGGACAAGGGAACATGAGGTCATTTTCTTTCTTTCATTCATTTTAACACAAACCTTTTTGTGAAACTCTGGCTCATGCTAGTCGCCTTCTCAGGTAAAGATTGCGGAACAAAAGCAGCCATCTCATTTAGTCTCTTCTGTTGCTTCAATGACTCGTCTATCAGCTTCTGAAACCAGAACAACAATTCAGCGCTACAGAAGATGCTTCCAGGCACTTCTATTAGCTACAAACCTATTTCTCAATTCTTTCTTTTGACATTATATCTATCGAGTTTCTTTTTGTTCTTCCTTCCCACCCTATACCAACATATGCACCACCCTCTATAAGATCCCAGAGAAGTCTAAGAAATGCCTCCCACCGACCAACTGTCCAACATGAGTTGATTCTTTGTAGTTGGATATTCAGAAAACCCATGACTTTCAGTACCAATTTTTACCATCGAATAGTCCAATAACCACATAAAAAGCCATTTTCTATTTTTATTTTTTACACAAATCCTAATCACCTTCCAAAACGTTGATTCCTGCCTGAGGATGAGGCTCATCGCAAGCACCAAATCAAACTACTCTAAAAGCTTTAGTAAACTTGACATTTTGAAATGCAAAGTTATGGAGCGTAGAAACCCTAACAGCAAAAAGTCCCCAATAAGGAAACACAAATTGCACAGTACATGTAAAACATTTTAAATCAGTCAATTGGTATACAGAGAGAAATAAACTACAAAGGAAGGAAGAGTACTTTGGCTTTGGGGATGGCTTGAATTTCTTCACGCAACCGATCTTTGATTTTGTAAACCTGAAGCTCCATGCCCTGCAGTGCCGCATCAATTGATGACAATTCGCAAATGCTACTAGCCGGATACACTGAAAAAATAGACGTCATAGGCTTATTTAGCATGAATGAAGCAACCTAATTAGCCCCTTTTGCTAAAGAATGAATTGAGAAAATACAGGAAAAAAAAAAAAAAAAGAGAGGGTAAGATTGAGGAACAAAATTGAAAACTTACTGTTACGAGCGATGACGAGTTGCTGTAGCTCGGCAATGCGAGCGTTGAAGGAAGACATGAGGCTTTCCAGTGAAGCTCCGGCGGATTCTTTCGCCTCCGTAGGTTTCTGTTTTCCGGCGCCCGCCATTATCACCACCGCAGTAGACTGAGGGCGGGTTATGACTACCGTTGACTAATTAAAAATTCTTTTTGTCATTTTGGGTTTTTTGGGCGGGAATGGGCTCGTTTTAGTTAGGAGGAGGAAAGCAAATGGACCTTAAAACCTTTGTTTGAGCAGTTCAACTCCAAAAAATATTTTTAATCAAACGGGATTTGTTATAGTACAAATTTTTTTTGGGTGTGTTTGTTTGGAAAAGTAATTAGAAAGGTAATTTGAACTATTTAAATGTAGTATACCTGGAGAGATATAACACCGAAATGTTTCATTGTGATTTTTCTTCACTAGCGTTCCTTTATTTTGGAAGATAAATTTGTCGAGAAAACACGACCATGATACATAATGCATTATACAATGAATACCACAAAAATAGAGTAAAGGGATGTAACATGTTGTTGTTGTTCATATTTTAAAATATTAAGCAGCATTTATTTTACCGGGTGATGTTAATGTTACAAGTAATGGTATGGTTATAATGCTTGTTTTATATCGCAATAAATTTTTGAGGGGAAAAAACATCAATTTATTATTTTATTTTTTTTTGGTCCCAAAATAAGAATATCAAATTTCAGTTGGCAACAAAATTAAAAAATAAACATGAGGTTGAGGTTCAAAGAGCGAGAAAATGTTGCAAATCTAGAATTTCTAGGCATTCTCTTCAGTTTTACTTCGGGGGTGTGCCAAGCAGGCAAACAGTGACATCGTTTGTCTAATTTAATATTATCACAAATAATTATATATGACCTGAAAAAGAACCCCAAAAATATCTTCTTAAATTTAGTTTTAGCTCATATGTCATAGTACAAAAACAATTATGAAGGAAATCTGGCTGCTAATAATGTGCTAGTTTTACCGACTTTGTCGTTTCTACGTACCTACATATTATTTGTATTCGTGAATACGGCTTCCAGAATCTTTTCGGGTATATTTGTTTCGTTTTTTTAGTGTATGTTTTTAGGTGTTTTTTATAATGAAAATGTAAAAAATGTATATTGAAAATGTAAAAAAGTATGCCGGGATGGGACAATTATTAGTTTATTATTATGAAAAAATCATCCAAAAAACAGAACAAACAAAGCCTTAATTTCTCTTTAGCTTTAGATTATTTCTTAGTTCTAACTACTCCACATATCGTATAAAATGCATAAATGTGAAGAAAATAGAAGAAAACTTCATCAACATTTTTGCTCTCTTTTCAGTAATCATCCTGCTATAAATGAGGTGCATTTTACAAGAAATCCCAACCAAAAACAAATTCCAATAAGTTTGCAAATTACTAACATTTTCATTCATTCCAATGTCGACGACCAAATTTCATCGTGTGCCTGTTCTTCTTCTTCTCCTCCTCCTCCTCCTCCTCCTAGTAGGCATATCTATCAACCATGCATCTGCTGCTCCCCCACTTGATCACAATGACAAGAAACTTTCTGAAAGTTTTCATCAGCTTCCCATCAAGGTAATCAATTTATAACGTACACTCAAAGTGATTCATTTCATCTTTTATATTTTTAAAAGAATAAATAGTGGTTATCGTAAGTATACATTTTTTTTTGTCTTGATTTTTTGTTTTTAATTAAAAAAAAATCAGGATGATCAAGTAAAGAAAGCAACCATTTCTGGGTTCTCTTCAGATTTGTCAATTGCGAAATGTTCATCAGTAGTTGCTGGAGCGGAAGAGCAAGGGGGAAAGCCAGATCAGTACGATCTGGATTACGAGCCACCAAAAACACATCCTCCCCAACACCACAAACTTATTTAATTAACATTTAGTTCTGATTTTCTATACCTTAAATTATAGTTTGAAGAAGGGAAAATAGGGAGAAAAATAAAAATAAAAAGAGTTATGTAGCGCTAGTAAGTAATATGATACTAGCAGTATTCACATTGTGTGTGTTTCTGTACTAGTATTAAAATAGACTTGAGATAATATAAATTTGTGAATTTTATTTTTTCAGCCATGATCGTGCGTGTTTTATGTGTGTTTATTCATATACTATCGAACAATTTTAACTTTTCTTTTTGGGTACAATATGTATGCAACTATTTATTATTCAACTTTTCGCAATATATTTATGAATTTTGGAAGAAAAAAATATATATAATGATACAATAATATTTGTTCATGGGTTCACCAAGAAAATGACTCAAATAAACTTTTTTTTAGAAAAAAAAAAAAAAAAGTCAAAAGCCAAGCATTAAAAAAGATGTTTGCACGACTGACATCAATTCCAGCCGCCAATTCTATCCCAATGAACTAATGATTACTATATCAAAATTCTTTTGTGACATTTCTTTTCATCAAAAAAAAAAAATTATGGTTTTCAAGTGACTATCTATATATCAAAATAAATTTCTAATCTAGGAGGTACGAATAATCCTTATTATCATTAGAATGTCTAAGATGTCCACTAATTCGAAACCGAATTTGACATGTGCCCCGTAAGACATAGCTTAAGTTGGAAGAAAAAACAAACACTAGTAACACAACTAATTACGTGCACTTATTATCTATATACTATTCTAAGTCAAAAATCAGAAAGAGAAATCTAAAGTTAAAGAGCACATGCCACATAGGATTTTATCTTATGTGGCATTTTCTTAATTTTTTAGATATAAAAATGCACAAAACAAAACAATAAAAACCAAAAAAAAAAAACGCAACTGAAAAAGTCGAAACCCTATATTGATTCGACCAAATCCCTGCAAATCCGATGGACGTATCTCTTCCTCCTAAAAAAAAACGCAACTGAAAAAGAATTTTATATTAATAATTTATTAAAATAATTAAAGAAGTTAGGCCAACCTGAAACTTCTATAATTTAGTTTCAAATATGGAATTGAGTTAAAATACTATGGTGATGGGTTGATGTAGCTAACGGGGCTAAGAAATCAAAAGTCACTCCGAAACAAGGAATAAAGGTCCTGATATCCAACTTTTTTTTATTTTTTTTATTTTTCTTATTAAAAAATTAGATGGCCTCTACAACAAGTTAGGGTTGTTGTTTCTGTAGTAACCATTCCTTCTCATAAACTTTTTCAAAAAAAAATAAAATAAAATTCCTTATCATAATTTCTTAACCACCCTAGCCGACCTTTCCACCCCAGACTACCAATGTAGTCTACTAAGAAATATTGCAAGATATATAATTATTTAATTCAAAGTTTTTTTTTTAATTTCTTAACTATCTTTTTTGCGTTAAATAAATTACCAGTGTATTCGTTTGATAAAGTGTTGTCGATGTTTGTGTTTTATACTTTTTAATGAATTTATTATATATTTTATAAAAATACAAAAATTAATACAAATATTAACATTTTTTTTTTATTTGTTTGTGTAGTAATGTTTATGTATATGTGATCCCCGTCCATCGGACAGGTCTAACACCTAATTGATATCTAATACGAATGTGGACGCACTGTACTAGCTTTTTTTTTGTTTGTTTATTTGTGCTAAAACATATATAAATCATAATTTTTTTTTTCTTTTAAAGCTGCAGGACGAATACATATCATGAAATCTCAAGTTTACAACTATAGACGCGGCAACTCTACTAATTAAAAGCATATGTCTTAAATACCATTGTCCAACTAACATGTTCAAAACTAGTGATGATAAAAATGTTTCTTCTTTTTAAGCAACTATAAATGGATGATTCATCGTTGATGGGAGGAACGGCATACACAACATGAGCATCCACAATATTTGACAAATTCAATATAGGAATTTTCCTTTTTCCAATAATAAGCCAATTAATTACTTGAGCTGCCAAATAATTACACCGATGGATAAAGAGTGTTGTTGAAACCCGACCGTTAATTTCAGAATATAGGAACCAGGATGTTCGTACAAGCAAATGATCAAAAATTCCCAGGATTTCTGCCAAATAATTTGTGGGCGGAGTAAGCAGATTTTTGCTATAAATAATCACACCAATTCAATTCTGTTTTCATACGTCGGGAGACCGGATTTTTATCGATAGGTGATGGAGGAATTTGAAGACGCAACGTACTTTTCAGCGATCCTCAAAAATCATGCATTCGGAGTTCTAAATTTATGCATGAATAGGTGTAGATCCACGAATCGATCATCATGCGATATTCTATCATCAACCAATATTTTATTTGATTTTTTCTATTTTTTTTTTGGGGGGGAGGGGGTAAAAATAAGGACAAAAATCAAAATAATTTGCAGGTAAAAAACACTAATTACAACATCGTATTCAAATTAAAATTGTGTGCCCACAATCGGCAAGTCATGCATTTATACTTCTGCCTTTCTACTCTATGACATCTCTTCCTTGGTTGGAATTTAACTCCTGTAACAAAACTTACACATTCGAAATTTGTACATGCATGCATGGATGCACCTGACAAAAGCAATTATTTATGCCAATGAAGTTTGAAAGAATAAGAAGAATATTAATTAAAAGCAAGAGACAATGGAAGAAATTAGACTAAAATGTCCAAATGATCCCTTATATTTGGGCTTACTTGATTTTATGTTCCTAAAATTATCATTTCAATATCGTAGCCTCAAACAATACGTTTTCACTTTTCACACTTTTTTAGTCCCATTTTACTGTTTCGACCACTTTTCCGTCCACCTCGATGTTGACCAGCAGTTGACATGCCGGAATCATGGGTATTTTTATCTTTTTATATAATTTAAACTTTCATTAAAATTTAAATCATTAAAAATATTATAAAAATTCACATTTATTATTTAATTATTAAAATATTATTTATTAATTTAAAATATTATTTTAAAATTTTAAAATTTAAATTATTTTCAAAGTTACTTTTTTCTTACGAAAATAAATGTTAATTATGTTGCACTTTTACCAAGGCACTTTTACCGCCCACTATAACTTTAAAAATTTACCAAGACACAATAAATAATTCAAAATTCAAATTAAAAAAAAAAACAAAACAAAACCAAGATTTTTTACTTTGACAGCTACAATAAATCTTGAGTTATTTTTAAAATTTTACTACGCTATAATAATTAATTAAAAATTCAAATTTTTTAAAAAAAAACTGCAAGAAAATTGTGGGGTGAAAATTCGGATAAAAAATGGTTTATTTAAGTTTTTGGCTTAGTTATTACTTTGAATTGGAAATATAATTTAAAATGTGATTTTAGTGAAAATTCAAAAAGCTGTTGGGATAGAAATTCAAATAAAATAATATTATCTATACACCACCACTTCCACACCTCCACCGACGCCGCCCGCTGCTGGACCATCTCCTGCCGCCGCCGGACCGCCGCCAGCCAATTTGAATTTCTATCCCAACAACTTTTTGAATTTTCACTAAAACTACATTTTAAATTATATCTCCAATTCAAACTATAAATTAAAATTAACCATTTTTTATCCGAATTTTCGCCCCCTCAATTTTCTTCCCTTTGGGCCCGCTGGATTTTTTACTTCGACCGAATAAAAAATTGGTAGGTGAAAATTCAGATAAAAAATTTAGTTAGATTTTTCTTTTTAAACAAAAAATTAAATTTTGAATTAGTTACTATAGCGTGGTAACATTTTTGAGTGATATGGAGTTAAAAATGGAACTAATTAATATTTATTTTGTATACAGCATAAATGATAAATAGAAAAAGAAATTTTTTAAAAATAATGTAAGTTTTAAATTTTATAATAATATTTTAAATTAATGAATAATATTTTAGCAATTAAATAATTAAATGTGAATTTTATGATATTTTTAATAATTTAAATTTCAATTAAAGTTCAAATTAAGTCAAAAGACGAAAATACCCTTGATTCGGGTAAGTCAACTACCGGTCAACATCGAGTTGGACGAAAAAATGGCCGAAACAGTGAAATGGGACCAAAAAAGTGTGAAAATATAATTTTTGGGACTATGATATTGAAATGTTAATGTTAGGGACGTAAAATCAAGTAAGCCCAAATGTAAATGACCATTTGAACATTTTAGTCAAGAAATTAATGTACGGACTTATATTAATATCCTCATTTTCATCATCCATCAAACATAAAACTCAAGTCAAGATATAATACATAATTCAAGTCAAATAACCGTTACAGAGATCAGTCATCAGGACATCTTTCCAGGTTGATGGCACGATGTTGTTTGGTCATAATACCACCAAAAAAAAAAAAAAAAGAACTCTTAGGCTGTTAAAAAGCAATTAAAACCTAGCTAACTACTAGTTGGTAGTATATGAGAACTACGTGATCATGAAACATGATCATCGGAGTATCTCAACTGATCAAGCTCACCTATATATATGATAAAACTACTGAGCTTAATTTCTCACTTGAATCTTAATGCACTGATACGGAGAGCTTCACTTCACTTCGCTTCGCTTTCGAGTTCCTATGATTATAGATCAAGCATTGCAAATCAAGCATATGTAGTTTTAATACATGTATCCTCAGCTGAGATTGATGAATGGATTAATCAGTTGTGAACTGGAGGGTGAGTTTGAGGAGGATCATAATCTAGATTAAACCCTGGTTGTCGTTCCCCCGATTTCGGGTGAGGTACTTTCCAAGTAACCTTTGCTGCTGATTGACCATCTCCAGCTCTCTTTTTCTCCAGATGATGATCATGATGACCATCTTTCAGCTCCTGATGATCTTTGACCTTTTCACCGCTTTGTGGTTGCTTCTTCGTTTCGTTCTTTTCGATGAGGGAACTGCCCATTTTCCCTACTTCTGATTCGTTTTGATTTGAGGGTTTGGCGTTGGATGAAACAGAAGCCCTAGCTTGACTTGAGATTTCAACGTCCTGCAAAATTACAAGAATACATTGTGAAATAAACTCTATTATTGCATTTATCCCAAGAATATATTGTTCAAGATTTTTGACGCTGAATAATCTACATTTTCACATTTAACACTTGTGCTAAGATGTAATAAAAAAGAATACATTGCGAAAATTTACAACGTAATCATGGGGCCAATGTGACTTAATTAACTTTAATTAGTGCTAGTACTTTGCTATAGTTTAGTAGTTGGAACAGGGCACTAGCTCCTCCAACTTGTCGGACAAAAACCTTTTGAAAACCATCTGCCTGTTAAACATTTGGGACGAAAGTGAAAAACAAAAACCTCAAATCAAAGTTTCTCTTATGATGTTTTGTGTGTATATAAGAAACTACCTCCTGGTGCTGGATCTTCCATTTGAAATCAAGCTAATTCTTCAATGAAATTGATAGACGTGAAATCATGACAAAAAATGAAAAAAAAAAAAAAATTTGTGAAACAAGTTGTACTCACTCCATCCTACAATCATTATCATGATTTTTGAAATATTTTCATGTAATAATAAACAAAAAAATTATTTTGGGATCGACTACATTTACTATAAGCAAGGAACATAAAGGGGTATCTAATTAATATACTCCCTCTGTCCCAAAATTATTGTCCAGTTTGAAATTTCACTTTTAATACAATTTGAACTAGAAACGAAAATCCAAACTGGACAATAATTATGGGATGGAGGGAGTACTTTGCAGATTTGTATTGTAAACGTTAAAGGCAAAAAAAACATGAACATACCTTATTATACAATTGTGAACTTCTTGAGGATTCATCCTGTTTCTTCATTAAACTGATTGGCCGAGCGTTACACGAACATAGAATAAGAGATATAATGAGAAGCAGATGCCAAAGACAGAAGGAACAAGTACTACTACTTCTTGACATTGGGAAATTACTTCCAAATTGAATGCCCTTCTTGGAATAATGCGAGGATAGCTTGAGAAATGAAATTTGTTGGGGGAATGATATATGGTATATTTGTAGCACTAAATACCAACCAAAACCAGCATTAAATGCTTTGATCAAATTGGTTTCAATGTTGAAGAACATGCAAATGTATGGGGGATGAGAAGTAAGTTGGGAAGATGAAGATATGGGTGGCCTCCTCTATGTCTCTTTCAGATATCTTTCAATTTGGAAGAACGACCAAGGGACAAAAATGAATGAAGAAAATCCCCACCAAGGAAAAAGAGAAAAACAACTTAGCCAATTCTTTGCCCTATATATCAATTTAATTAAAAGAGTCCAAAGGAGAGATTTTGTTAATTTATTTATTTATTTAAAAAAAAAAAGAAATGAAAGGAAGAAACAAGAGAAAACCATAAAGCAAGAGCCTGTCCAAGCTTTGATTCCACCGAGGAACCTCACATTTCTTGTCGTGTATTAATTTTGTGGTGTTTCATGGCGTTTTGGTTCCCGGTTTTTAGTTTCTAGTTCTTGTGCCCAACGTTATTTTTATTCATTAAACTTACCAAAGATCGATGATTATTCTCAATTCTATTGCAACACAGCAAAAAAGTAAGTTGCCTTTTTAGGTTGACGGAACACCAAGATTGTGCAATAAGCATAGTTTGCCCCCACGTACCAATATTTGTTTAGATTAAGAGAATGATCGATTTTTTTAAAACTTGTAGAAAAGCAATCTTGGTTCTTGAATTTTGCTCGATCGATCAGCTCCAAATCCAAGTAACATACTATATAGAGTGATTTTTTTTTTTTTTTAATAATATTGGTTTAGAAGAACAAGCTGCATACGGACAAGCAGAAAACCGTCTTTCGCATGGTTCCTAGGCCAAATATATAAATATACTAACTGTTTGATGAATCCACCGGTAAAAAATTTAGGGACATTTTCCCTGCCGCTAGCCCAACACGATGCACCTAGGCATTTGCAATTTTCATGGTTTTGTTCGAATTTATCTTACCAATCCCTCTTCACCTTGTCATATAGTAGTACTTCCGTGTTTTGTTTGGTTTTCATCCTTAAAAAGGTAGGGGAAAAAAACTCAACCATAATCATGTTGAAATTAGTTTGATTACGATATATATATTTGATTTAAATGTTCTTATAATTAAACTTCTAGCGGGAAAAAAATAACCAGAATCATACTTAAATTAATTTGAGTATGGCATTTGCTTGATTAAAATGTTCTCTTAGTTATCTTTTAATGCTTTATATTGGATTTCAAGAGTGAAAAATGGAGTAGCACATGTTATCGCTACCCATTCAAAGTCTCATGTTTCGAATGTTGAAACTTGGTTTTCTCTGCTAAGTTTCTTGTATCTTTTAATATTGGTTGATTTCCTGCAAATTTAATGAAATTTTTCTTTAAAAAAAGATTGTAATGGAAAAAGCAAAGAGTTTCTCTATAGATACTATATATAGAACTAAAATGCATTCAAATCTTAATTTTAAACAGTCTGTCGATTAGAATCACAACAATGAGAAAAGAAAATGCATGCATACAAAATCAAGAGCACTATATATACTTTATATCACCCAAAGAAAAAAATGACAGACGTGTAACAAAATATGTATAAGTGTCAAGTAGTCAGTGTGATTTGTGGATGGGCGTGATAAACAACTGCATCACAAATTCATTTTCTACGTATACATTTTTGATGAGTGAAAAAACACTTTTGTTACAAATTGCATTCTAGTAACAATCTTTCGGGCACAAAAGAAGCCCTATAATGCTAATCCATCTGTTACAAAATTGGATTTCCAACCGTGTAATTCCATCCCATGAAATTAAGTGGAAACTTTGAAACCAAAAAACATAAGCAAACGGGAAGAGGAGGAGACAGAATTACATGGAGTCGAATTGGGTGTTACCTATGGCATGGACATTCGGGGAATGCCTTAACCCCCGGATAGCGGTCATGCCCTCCACGTGGCACTTAGTCCTTCAAACCCAACTTGCCACGTGTTCTTAACCCCACTTCGGCCGTCAAAACGTTTGTTTACGGATTTTTGCACCCCTCTTCTAGTCTTCTGGTCGGTTTAAGGGCCGTCCTCAAGTGGACGCTCACTCATTCACTGTTTTTCGCCATTTGTTTTGCTTTTCTTTTCGTTATTTTTTTTTTTTTTTTTTGCCTTTGTTTTAATCATTCATAGATACTAATTAACTTCCAGAGATAAATTAGAGACGTTTATAAATAGTAATGGACTTAAACGTATTTAACCAGTTCTATAAATAAACAGTTCACATTCTTATTAATGCGTGAAAATCCCTAACATTTACACCGATCAGATGTAAATCATGTTATCTTTACACTATCAATAAATATGAGTATTTACGTAATAGAATAAGTGATACACATATAACTTATAGAATACTTATTTTATCATCGAAAAAATTGAGGCTGAACCCAGACTTTTGTATGCACTGGTTAGTGAACGTGATAAAAAGAAAAAAAAAAAAAAAAAAAAAGGTCAAGAACACATGCTGCATGAAGATCCATGAACCCAATCTCTAAAGATATGGCAAAATCGAAGCTATATACCCAAATTGGGACTTCTAAATTTTGTTTGGTTCATTAATCAAATCTCTCAATCCATGAAGTTATGGGATAGCGTTTTGTGTTGATGGTTGATTTTGTTTCGGTTCTCTTTATTCCAATGTACGTATAACTTTGAAGTTTACATTTTGCACAAAAAATCCCGCAAAAAACACACACGCATCAAGATTACATTTTTACAGCTTAATTTCCCGATTGAAATCAAACTGCATATTATATATTTACACATGTTCAAGGTAAGAAAAGAGAAAATGAGGAGTGGTGGTGGGTGGATTTGTGTTGGATTTGAGAGACGGCTGGCTGGACAGCAATGGGTACCGAGGTGGCTTTGGGGATTCCATCTTCTGAATTTTATTTTTCTTTTTATTTTTGGCAGAATTGAAATTGATCTCTTCCTTTTGGCGTTGACAATTTCCTCAAGCTAAGTGTGTCTTGTTAAAGTCGAGCATTCTTCTTGAACGGCTCATCACCGTTGTCTACTTGGCTATTGTAATTTTCCCTTCTTACTAATAGTACTACTACTACTCCTGCTTACCGAAATGTAGTTAAAACTGAAATTTTCTGTCTAATCCTTGATATTTACTACTCCCTGAATTCACAGTGAGATAGTGAGCTTGTTTTAAAAAGTTTATTATTCTAGTGCAAATGGATACATTTATATATATGTCGTTATATTCACAAATATGTGCGGTTAAGTATGTACTCCCTCCGTCCCAAAAAAATTATCCACATTGAGTTTTGAGTTTTGTACTATTTTTAGTACAAATTTGAAAACTCAATATAGACTATTTTTTAGGGACAGAGATATTATATTTTTTAGGAACGGATGTAGAATATTACTTTACTACTCTTACTTTGATTTTTATCATATTTATTTAACAAACACGTGTCATCTTAGTGTGTGTGATCACATATATTCACAAATATGCGTGATCTTACTATTTTTTTAACCTTTTCTTTGGGCTACTTGCGGGATATCCCGCATATAACAAACTATTCTTCAATGCATTCAATGAAAAGCTTGAAATATGCCTGTATTCATTTCTTGAATAATATTTTTGACATCCCAATTGGGGCGGGATATTCATATTTCGTGATATTGAAACAAAGTGTAACAGAAATGATATACAAAATATGTCATCATAGATTGTTTACCAAGACAACAAATTGTTGCTTGATCGATACACTATCTATCGTGATACTTCACATAGTCTTTTGTTTACAGGGTTACATGTTCTTTTTACATTTACGTACGTACTAGTAAAAATGTATGTTTGTTTTGGTTTTTTAGTGTGTGTTTTTAGGTATTTTTTGTATTGAGAATGTTAAAATAGTGTATTGAAATTGTAAAAAGGTATG